TTAAGGGGGCGGGGGGCGGGTTGAGGGGGGGCTGCGCGGGGCATTGTGGGAAGCGGCTTTGTGTTGGCCTGAAAGCAGCGTGGGAAGTGGGGCGGGGCTGCCCCGGTGCATTGTGGGAGCTGAAGGGGAGGAGGAGGCTGTCTCGGAGCATTGTAGGATGGGTGGTGGGGTGGGAGTCCGCCCCGGAGCACTGTGGGATCGATGGAGGACCGGAGCCTTTAAATCCCACCCCCCACTTTCAGTGCCGCGAACGCCATCACCGGGCACCGGGATGTCATCACCGGGCGCCGGGAGGGAATTCTGAGCCCTTCTCCTGGAATCACCATAGCAACCAGCCCTGGTCCCCCGCCCACACTCACACTTAAAGGAGCCCTACCGCGCCTGGGCACTCTGGCAGGGAGCGGGGCTGGGGCGGGAGCAGGGGCCTGGGACCCCCAGGGTTTAAATGAGCTGACCCGAGAGCAGTAGAGGTCCCGGCCCACACCCGAGTGGTGCCGCAGGTGCAGCACAATGCATTGTGGGATGCGTGGAGGACCAGGCGGCTCCAGGCGGCCCCGTGGTACCCAAGCGGCTGTGGGAACTGCTGCGGCTTTTGCCCACGTCTTCATGGGGTGTCCGTGTCTTTAATCTGTATTAACAGGCCTGTCCCTGTGTCTATTGCAGTCTTAACCCTGTCTACACTGGGCTCAATGTCTGTGCGTCCTTAATCTGGATTAACGGGCCCATCTGCGTATCTACTTTGGATTTAACCCATGGCTACATGGGGCTCAGGGTTCGTGTGTCCTTAATCCAGATTAATGGACCCGTCCATATGCCCACTTCAGGGTTAAATCACATCTTCATTGGCTCTGGTTCTGTGTGTTGTTAATCCATATTAACAAGCCTGATTGTGCGTCTACTCCCATTGTAAACCAGGTCTATACTGGCTCAGGGTCCGTGCATCCATAACATGGATTAAAGAGGTCATGCATGTCTGCTCCCATTTTAACTCGTGTATACATGGGGCTCAGTGTCCATGTGTCCTGAATCCAGATTAAAGGACCCGTCTGTGTGTCCACTCTAGGTTTAACCCACTTTTACTTAGGTCTCTGGGCCTGGGGGGTTCTGCCCCATTGTCCATCCTTCTAGGTGGCTTTCATCTGGATTAACATCCCACCCCACTGTGGTTTTATCCACATCTACACAAAGCCATAGATGCCCCTGTGTCCTTAATCCAGGTTAACATGCTCATCTGTGTTTCCTGAAAGTTTAACTCACCTCTGTGCTGACACATTGTATGTGCATCCTTAATTTGGATTAACAGGCCTATCTGTGTGTCCAGGCTAATCCAAGTTAATGGGCCCATCTATAGTTAATCCATGTTAATCCATGTTAACAAACCTGTCTGTAGTTAATCCAGGTTAGCAGGTTCATCTATGTGTCCGCTCTAGGTTAACTCACCTCTATAGTGGTTCAGTGGCTGCATATCTATAATCCAGATTAACAGGTCCATCCATGTGTCCACTCCAGGGTTTTACCTATGTCTACATAGGCCTCAGTTTCTGTCTGGATTAACGGGCCCATCTGTTCACACACTCCTACTTTAACCCACATCTACACAGGGCTCAGCATTGGGATGTTCTTAATCTGGTTAACAGGTACTGGCTCAGTTTTCATCAATCCTTAAACTGGACGGAACCCCTCCCCCCTGCCCCCC